TATATATACAGTAAATTTTATCAAACGAGTATATTTTGTGAAATTCATGAAATATGTTCCCTTGTTGTAAAGTTTCGCTGAACTACATCTTTTTCTGGAGGCAAAGCTTTACGCTAGATGTGAACTATCTTGGCAAAATTATTGGATCTTTGGCAGCAGGGCGGGGCGGCGCGCGGGCAGCRTGGTCCGTGCCGCTGACCCGCGGGCGAAAAAAAAAGTTGCTTAGAGTTAGCGGTCACAACACACTTCCAATATGTCTGATGATGACGAGACACAAGAGCAGACCATCGCCGAAGACTTGGTGGTTACCAAGTACAAGATGGGAGCAGAGATTGCAAATCGTAAGCTATTAAAGAGCTTCTAAATCGCTTGTTTGATCAGTTTACAAGTATCTGGTCGCGTTAGCTAGCAGCTGTGCCATGTGCCGCACCAGCGGGACTGGGTTGATTAGGGAGATGACCGCTGTGTGGAACCAAGAAAGCAGTGAATATGGAGAACAAATATGTAGATAATCCCACAGCTTTCTTTATTTGATTTAACGGCATGTAGCTGTCACACTGTCTGACTGAGATATATCTGGCGCTAGCTTTGTGACTGAGCTAACTGATTAGCAACGGGTTAGCTAACCGGAACTGCTTGAATATAGAAATTTTCACAACAAAATATAATATATCTCTATTAAAACGTGCAACTAATTCATTGGTTTAAAATGCATGTTTTAATTACATATTAGATATGTGCTTATCTTTAATACACTTCCCTAAGCAGAGTAGTTGATCCCCTTTGTCCATTCATTGTCATAATAATGCTTTTGCAAAAAATAAATCTAATTTTGATGTGTTACACGCCCTCAACATGAAAACGTTTTGAGTTTTTTCTCTCTTTATATAAGCCAATAAAACAGTATAATAAGCATGCTATTTAAAATGTCTTATTCTGAACAGGACTCATCTGTTTCCAAAACATCTTAGATCCCATTTGACTCATAAAAGCAATGTTTTGTTCATGTTTTTGTACTGCTAATCTACTGTCGATTTAGCCACATTATACTGGTGACTTTTTTAAAAGCTGACATGCAGGGTTTAACAGTTGAGTGTAAATTAATACCTTAAAAACATCCATAGGATTTAACATTTGTGGCATATTGTTTTCCCCTAAAATGTTTGAATGGTATACACTCATATAGATTGTAATGAGCAGATGTGCTAAACTTTAAAAAAGCACTTAATCATTTGCCATTTTCATTCTTGTCCTGTTTATCTAATATCTTGCAGAGGTCCTGAAGATGTTAGTGGCAGCAGCCACTGCTGGGGCCTCTGTACTCGGCCTCTGTGAGAAAGGTGATGCATTGGTTGCAGCAGAAACCGGTAAAATCTTCAAGAAGGAAAAAGACATGAAGAAAGGTAAGTGTGTTGCTGCTTTTTGCAAGTTCCTCATTGATGCCTCAGACTCAGCACTCCCTCTTTTACTTGTTTTGTTTTGTTTTTACTCCCCTCAGGCCTAGCTTTTCCTACCTGTGTGTCTGTTAACAACTGCGTCTGCCATTTCTCCCCTTTGAGAAGTGACCCTGAAGTCTTGCTGAAGGATGGGGACCTTGTAAAGATGTGAGTTGTCTATTTTTTGTGATACTCACTGTATTGTGTTTTGAAATAAGCAGTTATAGCTCAACACRACATTGCTTTGTTTTGTGTGTGCAGTGAACTGGGTGTGCATGTCGATGGCTTCATCTCTGATGTGGCTCACAGCTTCGTCATTGGAGCGAACAAGGTGTGGTCTGCGAGAATATTTACACCAATACCAGCTAGGGATGTCAGTGCATCACATGTTCCCTGTGTCGCCCTCAGGACAACCCTGTGACGGGACGGAAAGCTGATGTTATCAAAGCAGCTCACCTGTGTGCAGAAGCTGCTCTTCGGCTTGTCAAGCCAGGGAATCAGGTGAAGACATCTACTACTATCTCCATCTACCTACTGCCTTAGTTGGCAACACAACAAAAAAAGCTCTTCACAGCTCATCTGAAATGTCACTCTCTTTTTAAACAGAACACACAGGTCACAGAAGCCTGGAACAAGATCGCCAAGTCCTTCAAATGCTCCCCTGTCGAAGGTAGGTTTTTTAAAAAACAGTCAGGGGTGCGATTTATTTATTTAGTTAGTTAGTTAGTTAGTTAGTTAGTTAGTTAGTTTTATTTAAACTGAATCTGGGTCAGTCATAGAACAATGCAAATGCAAGTAGAGTTTATAGATTTTCTAAATAAGTAATTTTATGGCGATGTTTATGTAAAGCTGCAGTTAGCATTGAAAGCTACATCTGGTTGCCAGTAAGAAGCCTAGTAGAACATTAGTGTTCAGAACACCATCGAAAGTATGGTGTAAAAACAAAATAAAGGATGTAGTGCAGGGATGTCCAAAGTGTGGCCCGGGGGCCATTTATGGCCCCTGACTTCAGTTCAAGAGTTATACTAATTTGTTTACAATTTGTTCCCCCGGCACAGCTGTTTGATGTAGACAGAGACTTTCTATTTATTGTTAGAGCAAAATTATCACAAAGTAAAATCTTATAATAAAAAATATTGGCAACAATACCAGTTATTTGTCTTTAAATAAACAGACTCTTTCCACGTCTATCTGGTGACTTCTACTCAAAAGCTGATTTTGCTGCCCTCAAATCTGCCTTTAACTAATTTATTAAATTTGTCTGAATACAGCAAGCATTTTCAACGAAAGAGTGACCTAAATCCTGATTTTATTSATCAGAATTGATTAAATTGGGTTATTTTTCCCCAATTGAGACCTAGAAAATTACTAAATTTCTTTCAATAAGGGAAACCTGGAAAACGCTTTTAAAGTTCTAGATCTAGATTAATTTATGCATCCATTTCTAGCAATAAATTTGACTATTTTATTTTTTTCAATTAAAGTATTCAGTGCTTAGTTTATTGTTGAGCAGGTAAAGGAAAAATATTTTTTGGCCCTCAAGTCCTTCTGACTTTATGATTTTGGTCCATGTGACAAAATGTTTGGACACCTCTGATGTAGGGTTGGGTATTGAAAGGGTTTATTTCGTTACCGGTGCTAAATCGATACTTTCAAAACGGTACCGGTTCCTAAACGGTATTTAAATCGGTACTTTAAAAATAAATAAATAAAACACACACACTCACACGGAGGTTTATGAAGCAATGATTATTTCTGAGGCAAAGTCAAACTTGAAATTGACCAACATATTAACTTAAAACTAGAAAACATTTAAAAAAATTATGTTTTATTTTATCTAGTGCTAAATATTCAGTTTTTATTTGTATATTAATCAGATTAATATATTTTTTACATAAAATAAAATGACTGTTTTAATATTCCAGCATTTTTTATGCAAAAACAGCAACAGGCCTAAATAAAGCTGTCAGAGCAATTCAGAAAAAGGACAGACACACACACACACACACACACACACACACACACGTTTGTTTCTTGACCCCGTGGGGACCTTCCATTGACTTCCATTCATGTTTTTTAGACTTAATAGCCTAACCCTGACTATATACTCTAAAATTAACCTCACAGAAACTTACCTGACCCTAAAACTAACCTAAACCTTGGTCCTAAACCTAACCCCACACCTGTAACATGCATTTGGACCCGTGGGGACCTGACATTGGTCCCCACGATTCACTTCAGTCCCCACCTGGCTGCTTTTTTTGTAAAAAATACCACACGTTGTAGGAAAAACCCATCCACACACACACACACAGCGCTCATAGTCTGCCTCAGTCTGCACCTGTTTTTTCACACCGGGCAAAAAATGCATTTAAACCAGTAGAAGTTAAGTTTAGAGCACAGTTTGAAATGTACACCGAAGGAAAACTGCATCACGACTTTATGCTGCGGTCAGAGCAAACGTGATCTGCAGCGTCTGCCTGCTGCACGGCAGCAGCTCTAACGTAACAGCGAGAAAGGACCGAGAACTTTTTATTTTAATCCAGCAGGGAGAACAACAGAGGTGTTCTTCTATGCCTCCTGTGAGCAGCTCCAGTATTTTTTAGAAGAAAAACAACTCAGACACGCTAATTACAGTGCGGTCAAACCGAAAGTAAAAACATGGCGCTCGCCGCGCTCCCGTTCGAAGTGAAACTTAAACTCAGCTGCTCTCTCTACCACACATAGTCCGACACAGCGGACAGAAACAGCTAAATTAGACAGTTAAAACACATTAAAAGTTCATAACTCACCCTTATTGTTGTTGGCACTCTGTGGAGATTGTGCCGAGGCTGTCACTGTTAACAGTGAACACCAGAGGGCGCAATTAACAGCTTTCTTTGAGGCACTGAAATAAAGCACCGAAATTATCGGTCTGAGTATTACCGTTGATCTTGGCCCCAGTGCCATACTGGAACCGAGTTTCGGTACCCAACTCTACTCTGATGTAGTGCAAACATAGCTTTAGCAATATGCTAACTTTAGGGGAGCRTCAGAGCATTAATCGTTTCATTTCTGTGTCTGCATAGTAAAGGCAGAGGAATGCAGAACTCATCAAGGGGTGAAAAAACTACAACATACAGTGTTTGAAACATGGACATCTGAACAAAATGATGTTAGTTTAGGAATTTAAAACCAAAGCAGAACTTTGAATTAATTAGAGAAATTATATTTTCTGCAAAAAATGCATGTTGAAAGATGCAATGACTTTGCTGACAAAGCTGAAACTGAGGTGGTAAAGCTAAAATAAGGGAACATGAAGCATACTGCCACTGCTAGCTAAATGATAGAAGTAGCAAAATAATAATTCATCAATGTACAGCAATTTTTAGCGTATTCAAAGATGCTTTACCTATTCGTACACACGTTTACACACTGATGGTGGTAAGCTACATTGTAGCCACAGCTTCCCTGGGGTACACTGACAGAAGYGGGGCTGCCACCGGACCCTCTGACCACCAGCAGCAGGCWAGGCGGGTRAAGTGTCWGACTGATAGTYTGGGRAATCGAACAGGCAACCCATGGGTTAYAGGACGACTCCTCTAACCACTCTGCCACAGCYGCCTGATGTGATATGAAAATGATWGCTTAGGGCTAAAAGTACCAAAATGTTAGCTTGTAGCAGCTAAAATCTCACATCCAGGTACCCAGAAAGTGTAGAAATGGCCTCAAATGTTTAAATCCAAGGGCGTCTCAGGCAGTTCTGCCTTTTTTTTTTCTTCAATCACATTCCTGAAACATTTGGCAAAGCGTTTGCTTAAAATGATTTGGACACCCTTGACTAATTTGATTCACCATCTGCAGGCATGCTGTCTCATCAGCTTAAACAGCATGTGATTGATGGGGAGAAAACCATCATTCAGAACCCCTCGGACCAGCAGAGGTGAGTTTTGTCATCAGACAGTCGTCGCCTCTTGTGTGTTCTCTGTAACCACTGGGTGACCTTGTGGCTTTGTGTTTATTTTATTTATTTATTTATTTATTTAAGAAAGGACCACGAGAAGGCTGAGTTTGAAGTGCACGAGGTGTATGCAGTGGACGTGTTCGTCAGCACCGGAGAGGGGAAGGTTAGAACGAATTTCGAATTATTGGACTTYCTGCTCAAAGTCTTAATAATAATAAAGGGTGAATGCTCTTTTTTTTTTCCTGTTTTATGATTCAGGCAAAGGATTCGGGTCAAAGGATCACAGTTTACAAGCGAGACCCTAACAGGCAGTACGGCTTGAAGATGAAGGCGTCCCGCACCTTCTTCAGCGAGGTGGAAAGGCGCTTCGACACAATGCCTTTCACCCTGAGGTAACATCCTCTCACCTCAAATCAGAATTTTTTTCCCCTTGATTTTATTTATTTTTATTTGGCTGCAGCAACTCACCCCTCTCCTTCGCCTCTCCAGAGCATTCGAGGATGAAGGAAAGGCCAGGCTGGGAGTGGTGGAGTGCGCCAAACACGAGCTGCTGCAACCGTTCACCGTGCTGCATGAGAAGGAGAGTAGGTAGAACAATAATGTTTAAAAAAAAAAAGCTTTAATCGTTGGAACGTTTAAACAGTGTGGACAAGGACTTCAAAATGAACTTTAAAGGGAGCGCTTGTCCTGTCGATCAGGAAGGAGGAGCTGTACGTTTTCCTGCTGAGCTCCAGCGTTTCACCTCAGAATTATTTGAACTGCGATCTTTTTTTTTTAAAGCTGCTTCTTCACTGCATTGCAGTGGTTGTGACACCAGACTCCTTAGCTTTCAGCTAATGTGCCTGAACAAATCCAGTCAGCGACTTAAACCAAATATATGGGATGTCATCCATCAACCCTTTCTAGCAACAYGCCTCCTCCTCTGTCACTGCCTTCTAGTGGCTCACATTAGATGTAACAATCCAAGCGAGACTGATTGGATTTGGGAATGACAATCTGTTTCAACACTATATGCTACCCACTTGCTGTTAAGAAGTGTCAGTTTCAGTTTGTAAAACAGAAGAGTGRACATTCAGTCTCTTCTATGCAAATGCTCAGTTACAGTCCCTTTACAGGGCTCCTGCAGATTCTTAAAAAGCCTTAAAATGCCTTGAATTCATCAAGCCAAAAATAAGGCCTTAATTAGCCTTAAAATGTCTTAAATCAATCTTTCAGAAGTCTTAAAAATGTTAACACGTTTTAAATAGGATGATTGTAATTCATCTGAAATAAATAATTGGTAAACATATATATTTTTAAATATTCACATGCAGACATTCCCCTTTGACATCACTTCCTGTGATTTCACATGCAAATATCTCAATTGTTCATCTGAGCAATGTGACATTCGCTTTCTGATATGTTGATGTTGTTTTTCCAAAAATGCATTCACTTTCCTTACAAAAAATGGATGTCACAGGCACTTTAAGGTTTCATCTACAGAAGGTTGGGGTTAAGACCCCACTGTGGGTCCTAAAACTTCAAATTTTGGGTTGTTAGAGGAATTCCTGAAATTAGATTAAGTTTAAAACTGACTACTAAGAATGTTTCTGCTTTAGTTAGATATGGATACAAACAATCGGTCTATTAGCAATATTTGAATAC